AAATTATTAATTAACATTACCTTTATTAATTTAAACAATGAGATTAAGTCAAAGTCACATAACTGACAATTTGCACAGACGAATCATCAGAGCGAATTTTCATACTGTATTATCCTACTATTGTTACACAATTTATTAACATACTCTTTTTTAGGTTCATTTAGATTCTTTTGATAACGGTAGCAGAAAATAGCTATCGAAACGTCGAGGTAATTTTTCAAATTAATTTCTCTACTTATTGGAATTTTCTCTTACAGCTTGAGCCTAAGTGTGTCGCAGGATACCCTCTAGATGATACTTATTACTTTTTGATAAATATTTCGTTCTTATTGCAAAATAGGAGCACTATTTATCTATCTGCAATAAAAGACGTAAGGAAATTTTGTCTCAAAAAAATTTTGAGGCAAAATACCCAAAAAGAAGTTTGTAAAAAAATGAATCCGCCTCAACAATATAGAACTTATCTACAAAAAAAATATGTTATACTGGTCTCGTCTCTCAAATTTATTGGCCTGGTGGGCATCAATGCGCTACTTTATTTATTTATTTATTTATTCAAAAACCATAATATATCGATACACGAAAAACACCAGAAGCGAAAAAGTGTCTTCTTCAATCCAGCTTACTGACAAAAGTATTTGTGGGACTATATTCCTGCTGGTTACAAAGTTATAAACAAAAATATATGACAAGTCGTCTTTTCGCTCGAGTAGCAAACACAAGTAACTTAGGGCACTTTAAATGGCGATTCTGCTATAATTGATGGTGTTTGAGTTAAAAAATAAAGTAGTTCTTCTTATCGCGCCTCTCGAAACTGGTGATTAAACAGCACCCCCCAAGATCAGAACACTACTTAAATTTTTTCTCAAAAACCGTTAAAGTACACAGACGATCTCAATTTAAAACATTCTCTACGTATTTATTTCTCGGACGATTTCCAATGTTACAAGTGTCTTTTGAGCCAAATTTCCTGCATTTTTAAATGAGAATTTCACTGTTTCTACTTACCTAATTGTCCACATTTTGCATTACGGTCACATCGCAGATTATTCGGACAATATCCTTCGCCTTGACGGCACCCGATGCTCTGATTGCCGACGAATCCATAGTCGCAAGAACCGCATTCGTACGAGCCCTGGAAGATCAGCCTCGAAAAAAACCCTCAAAAAACCTTTCAAAAGCTTACCAAAGTGTTGATGCATCTGGAATTCTCCACGCAAACACTCCCACTAGCACATTCATCGATATCTGTGCAGACTTGCCGGTTTCTTTCCGCAAAATAAATCCCAGTTCCTTGAGAACGGTGGGTTTCAGTATAACCTGAGGGACAGGAACCACATTGGTATCCAGGCGAAAGGTTTGTGCACTCCACATTTGGATCACATGGATGCACCAAGTCGCACTAAAAGATTTTTCGGGGAAATGTTAAAATACCGAACATGTTTTTTTGAGTTGAGTAAGTTTCTCTACCTCGTCAATGTCGTGGCAATTCTCCCCATTTCCAGTAAATCCCTCGGGACATTGTGAGCATTGATAGTAGGGATCTTCGCTGATTGGAGAACAGCTCACTCCTGGATAGGCAAAATTTGATTGTTCAATGAAGGGCGAAGAACTTGACCGGGAAGTTTGATTCAAAAGCCGTTTACTTACCTGATTTGCAGCCTATGGACTTAAAAATGTAAAACCTAGTTTGCCTTTAAAAGTGTGGAATAGACAAAGCGATTCATAAACAGTGCGCATCAACTTAGCGTCAAATAAAAAAGGTTTTTCGGGAAACGAAGCCATGAAAACAATTCATAAAATAAAAGGACATTTTTGCAGGAAAACCGATCTGATCAAATGATTTTGGTGCGAAGAGCCAAGCGTGTTAAAGATGACAAATTACAGAAAAACGATGTTAAATAATGAAAATATATTACATTTAATCACAAACTCAGGTCTCTAAAGTAATACTGGTCATTAAAAAGTGCGCCCTTAAAAATCTACAATCTGGTCTCTATTGCCATCAGAAAACTGTTGAATAAAGACCAGAATCTATGGTGCAGTGAAAACTAACACTGGCTAAGTTGGAACCAGCCAAAAAACAATGTGTTAAATGTGATGTGATTAGTATAAAAAGTGTTTTAGTAGTGTCTTTGTACTAAGTTAAGGTGCGTTAAGCGATAATGGTGTTAGCAAATACAAATTCGTCTGCATCCTAAGGTATCCATTTAATCTGGATTATGAAAATCGGGAAGGGATCTTCGAGATCTCCTTGAATTCCGGGTTCTCCATACAGGCGCGCAACCTGTTTTAAAAATAAAACAAATTATTAAGTTTCATATCTGTTTATATTTAAATCAACATTAGCGTGTACACATTGGCTACAGTTACCGCTTACATCTAGCTAGGAAGAACGAAATGTTAACTACAAACAACAATCAGCTTAATGTGGCCCAACAAATACCTTGGAATACAGAGAATATTGCTGGTTGAATGAGGCCAAGCGGAGATTTTCAAGAGTTAGACAACAGAGAAAAACATGCACTAAATTGGCTCAGTGGCTCCAGATTGTTGAAAGCTACTACAGGAATTTATGGGGGTTTGGTCCTTAAAAAGGCAAATTCACTGGGTTAAGAGCACAAATCCTACAACTGCTCTGTATATACAGAGTGTTTTTGAAAGCAGTTGCTGTTAAGGCAAAACACCCAATTGTTGAGAAGTTTCGAAAGTTTAAAGTTTCATTTTTTTATTATGTTTTAAAAGTGTACGTATTTTCAGTATTGCATTTAAAACTAGATAAATAGTAAATATTCTTTAAACTGAATAGATAACTGAGATACTTGTGATAGATATCTTGTGATGATAGATGAGATATTTAGATAGTGACTTTTGTGGGTTAAATCGCAGCTTGTGAAAATTGGGAACTTTAAGCAAATTTGATCAAACCCTTTAAATCAATTTATATAATTTAAGCTAGATGTCCGAATGAAAGCAAAGTTACACCAGATCTTCAGCAAAGCTTCCTTTATCGACTGTTGGAGACCACACATAGATAAATTTGGTGAATATCGAAAAATCGGCATAGATTACGGTACATGAATATTGGTATCGCTCAGAAATTTGAAAAAATTATCAATTCATAAAAATTGAATTATTTGCTCAAAAAAAGTGAAATTTAGAGCAAGATTTAAGAGATGCTTGCTTTAACGAAAGTTGGTATCTGCACCTCGATGTGTGCTTTAGAGGATCAGAAATAAGCCAAAGAAGATGCCAAGGCGAGAATGACAAGTTGGCCAAAAAATTGTAAATTTTATAAAACTATATAAATTCAACTATTCGCTCAAATACAGTCGCTTTAACATCGAAATTTAAATGCAGCTTGCTTTAAGGACTGTGTCTTCGCATCCCGATATCTGA